ACGATGTAGCATAACACCTCATAGTTTGGCATGCCGCACTAGCTGTACTGGTAGTAGTGTAGTATACTTTGGGATTCACCTCATCAGACAAGAACTGTCCTTGGCATGATTTTGAATGAGACGTTTCTCTCTTTTCTCCCATGTTCTCCTGTTACTCTTTCGCATTCATCGCTTGCGTTCACTTTTTATGTTTGTGACCATGCTCTTCAAAAATAGATGATAATAGTAGTTATAGTATGGCTTAGTATAGTATAGTTTAGTATAGCATAGTTTAGTATAGTATAGTATGGCATAGTACAGTATGTTACACTATAACATAAAGTGGGATAGTGGGGTAGAATGTAGTAGATAGTACAGCACGGAATAAAGTTAGTTGAAATCCATGGAATCATTCCAACGACAGAAAAACTATCGAATGGGTGTGATGTCAAATGATCAGCTAAAACTAATAACCTCTAACATAAAATTCAAAACCTCATATATATATATATATATATAACGCAAGTGTAAAGAAAACCTGTTGATGCTTAGTTAACGACATCTGCAAATGAACTTAATTTAATTTGCATGCAGCATCGAGTGATTCATTGAAGCCTAAAATGGTTGGTGTGAAGAGTAGTTCGTTCGGATGGAATAAAAAGATATTCTTTCGATCATTTTGCAGCCGATTACATTGTGATCCGCGAAAGTGTGTGAGGAAGCATCCATGATTTCAGTCGAGTCATCGTACCGCGTGCAACCAACTTCGAGCAGTGGGCGAAGTGGTCTGAATAAATGAAACTTCTCTTTGCGCAAATCGTCGAGCAACTGTTCAGCAGTGCACAACGTGACTGTATGGAAAACGACTCATGGAAAAATGTTGACAACATAAATGTCGAAAACACCACGTGTCCTTAAATTCATCACATGCCAGTCAGTGGAACCGGGTGTACTTCATTTTTTAATGTGACCTTCAAAATTCGCACTTCTGTGTTCGACTGAAGAAAATCTAATATTCCGGCCTTGACACCCAAGCCGTTCAGTTTCGCTCCAACCATCGTGAACGAGGGCACGCGCTCACACACTTCCATCGGTGCAGTTCGGCTGTCCTCTCTGATCAGTGGACCAAAAAACCCGAGCCTGACGACAACCTTTTTCTTCAACACACAAATTAGGTTGGTCAAGGCCAGTTGCAACAAGTTCCATGCCTGAAGTGATCTGTTTGTTTTTTATAGCACGTTCACATCGAATGACCCTAATAAGGCTTAGATTCTCTAAACCATATCATGTGATCACCAAATCAGAGTCAGAACGCCGAGCAACCTGGTAATTTTTAAAATCAGCTAGGAAAATCGCATTTAGTTCAGTGAAGCAGTTTACGCAGCCACTCTTTTGATTGCCTACACACAGCCTCATTACCGTATGGACGGAGCCTTGGTGGTCAGCCTTGGTGGTCCTGTATTACGAAGACCTGTCATGAAAACGCCTACTTAAAGCAAATCATAAAACCGCTTCTTGGTTACTGTGAAAAATTTCCCTAAGGGAAGTTGTGTTGTGACATCAGTATTTATTATATTACAAGAATTAAACGGACAGATTGTTTTGTGCGAAATGGCCAAAACATAGGGTAGGCTGAATGGCCACAGAGTGACCCTCGATTTGCCACTCCTTTGTCAAGCAACGCTTTGTGGAATTCAGTGGAACACAAGAAGCCGAATTGTACTGTTTTCGAATCCGAAACCCATTTAAACTCGCTTCATTTTGTATACGGTTGACCAACTGATAAATTCTGAAGTTAAATCTTATGAAATCGAGTCAGTTTATCTGAATACTTCACAAAAAGTAAGGCACTTCACAAAACCGGCCTAAAAAGCCACCTTGTCCTTCCTCATGCACGTGATTGCCTCCAGTAACGATGAACGATCTCGTGTAGCTCACAATATACCTGGAACCGTTGTACCACACAAAGATTTGTATTCATTGCAAAAAAAACTATATGCCGCCATTGTACAGTGAACTAACTTCCCTTTTTCTATGCCCAGTTACACGTCCAAAACTTTTATGCAATACTGTCAGTTGAATGTCCAAGTGATAATTAAATCTGAAAACCTAACTCTGAACATCAACATTTGCACAGAAGTAGAGGGATTTTTACTCCAATCGCTGACAGTTGATGAGCAGAAATCTTCAGATAACAAAGCGATTCAAACATTCCGATCAGCTGCAGACAGCTGCAAGTGAATGGTATATATGCTCGATAATTTTCACAAATCATCAGGGTTTGGTATCGTTATTAGATTGAAATCAGTGCCCACTCTGAAGAAATCTTCAAGCGGCTCTGCTCATTGTTAATCTCAAAAATATCTTTGTTAGCAAGGTGCGTTCTGTTTCAGTATTTCGAACTGCACTGTGTTGATTAGAAAGCACTAACTGAACAGTAACAGACTATTGGACAGGAAAGCGAAACTCTCGTATACATCTTGTTTATACAAACTGTTTATCCGTCTTCTCTTGAGCACGTCTTCCTGAACCTTCTTGAATATTTATTGACCATCAGTCAAATTTAAACGAATACTACAAAGCAACTCCACAAATTCCGTAATAACTCCCACTTTCCAATAGACGCAAAGCAGAGTTATGGGAAAACATACTACTCGCACGCGTAATCAGTAGTACCCAAGTTACATTGGTAGCCATTGTGTGTCAACTTTTTTAAAGAGCATCAGAATACTCATTGTTGAAGCCAGCCACCCAAAAGCTGTACAAACCACTCAGATATTCAGCACTCAGCTCTTTGGGCCTTGTTGTTAGTAAGCCATTCAGCCAGTGCTCAAAAGTCTAGAGAAGATACTTTATGTAAAGATGTGCCTTTAGACGATACAGAAGGTCTATGGGGAACAGGTCCTAATTGATGAAAGACGCAGAAATTCATGGATAACCTTAAAATTCTCTGTCAAATGCTAGCAATCCATCCACATGACAGTCGTCGCTCTTATTGAAATTCGTGTGTGACACTATAGGATTTGGAAAATAATGGTCTTACAAATGGTATCCCATTCTGGCGTGGTTTTGAAAGGGACGCAACAGCATTCACTGTATTGCTTTAGGCAAGATTTTAAGCTCTTCGAGATGGCGCCTCTATTAAGGAAAGTATACTACAGTGAGCCCACTCCTGGGCCAGTGATAGTGACGGGTGTCAAAAACAAACAGATAACCCTCGAACTGTGTTGAAAATGACGCAGCGATTCATTAATTTAGAACCGAGCGGAGATTTCGAAAGTGCGAAACTGACAAGACTAAATGTCAGAATCCTCAAAATCGGTTATTTCACACTCATTCACAGTATGTGAGGAAATTAGTTTCCCCTTATTTGGATTGCCACTAAACCAGGTGTTGTCAGGAAACCTTCCTTTTCAGGTTACTTCGCTGTGTCGTAAGCTCTAGTATTTAGGACATCTAGGCTGATTATTTTCAGATTGGATGCCATGGGAAAACCAGTTTAGCATATTCAAAAGTGTCACGTCATACAATTAACAATCTTAGTTTTATTCCGTAGACTTTTGAAAAATGTGGGAGAGAAATATTTTCTCATAAAGGAATTGTCTGACTAGTCAGTGTCTTATTGATTGAGAACTGTTCGCGCATGGATGGTACGTTCTTTTGCCTTTTGTCAAGCACTCACAATTTTTTTACTCGCTGCTCCGGTTGACTTTTGGTATTGATGTCGGTTTTGTTGATGCTTTTACCGGGTGAAACAAATACTCTCTCCTGATAGGCTCTATCATCCTGATAACCTTGAGAATTTGCCAATCGCCATCCGCATCACAGGGTATGGCATGAATTGGGCTAGCCGATTACTGGTTTCGGGACATTCAAGCCTGCTTCTCCTGACCGCATTTTGCTGACCCACCGTCATCCGCAGCTCATCGGTAGGGAACGTCACACGTTAGCGGACACACTCGGCGTATTTAGATGCCTTCAGAACCTTAATGGAAAATCATACCCACACGAAATTCATGACCCATGCATTCTCCAAAGTCTGTTGACGTTGTTCGAGTGTAACTGACTATGAACAACTATGGAAGGAACACATCTTAGCAGCAGATGAGGATATCACATGCGAATTATCAAGCGGTGCACAACTTCGGACAAAATGTTGAGCTGTATTAGAATGAGTTAAAGACGTTTATCATATTTTGGGCTCCTTAGGCCAAAATTTTACTTCTCCTTTTTCGCAGAATCCTCATTAAAAAGCTCAAACTGGATTTTCTCCATATGGGACAGTTATCAGTACACCGATGAGGTCCCCTCCAATGGTAAGGAGATGTTGCCAAATTAGTTGATCAACTATCACTGGATAAAACCGAGCTACCAAAGTTCCAACACATTACCAACATGGGGCAGTGTTCAGAACCGAACAGTACTAAGATTGCCATTATAGGTTCCTGAACTTAGCCAGAGACCATGCGCAAGAAACACATGCATGATGTGAGCGAAAGTGTTAATCTCAGAAATTTGTCGCAGTTATATCGCTACTCGTCGTTTGTGTGCACCTTTGAAGATCACTTCGCTCTTAAGTAAATTCGTATTCTCCCTCCAAGGGTCACTGTAGCTGTTGAGACGGCTGAATGTGCAAATCGACTCCACACATGTGCTGAGGTTCCCGATACGGAACTTTGAGTGATGAGTAGGCTCGGCAATCCCGAATATCAAAAACAAGAAATTCTGCGGTACTGCTTACAAAAGTGTAGGCAGGTTTAAAAAACAAACCTCAATTGTCCACGGTCGTAGCAGCAACAAGTGCACTGACCGGCACAGTGCAGTGTCAACGTCCGCACACCAAACAACGGCCGGCAGAATGTTGGCTCAGTAGTGTGGGTTGTGGTCGCCCTTTCCGACGACAGTCTCATGCATGAGGAAACAAGTCAATTCAGGCTCAGCAAGCAGGACACGAGTGCGCATGGGTAAGTGGGTCAGCTGCGCACATTCACATACAGACACATGCTGATAGACAAGTGTCGGACGGGACCGCCTTCGCGGCAAGGTGAGTACAGATAAGGCGGGTACAGAGAGGCAAAACGACTAGAGTTCAAAACTTCATTGGCGGAGTAAGCAAATTAATGGGGGAATCATTATGAAGTCAGAAAAACAAAGAATACAATGACGCCCACTCAGTTAGGTAAGACATGAAGCTATCTGTTGAATTCACAAATTAGGGAACGTTCTAATGAGGTGGAATTCGCCACATATAACCACCAGCATTTACGGGGAATTCATTGTCAAGATATCCTTAGTTAGATTTTTTTAACTTGAAACCGACCTTAATCCACCGACCGGACATCAGCGCCTCGCCATACATTACGCTCGTTGAAATTCGACGGCAGAACTGCTACCACGACCTGCAACAGCGCTTTTAACAAAGCTACTATCTAAACGTTTGTTGTGTGAGAATCGGCCTGAGAGAAAGGCACAGCGAACGAGCATATTAGGTCATATCAACACCCCAGAGCGCTATGAAATTGCAAACTCTTTCCACTGGAACAAACAATATTGATTGCAGTCGACCTGTCGTACTTTCCTGCATCTCACACCTGGGCTCTGGACTCAATGATAATAGAAGGCTTGTTTTGCGAGCTAGACTGAAAATGAATGTCGAAGATTCTAGTACCGCCGAGTGCGCCTCGAGTTGCTCCGTCCAGTATGGTATTGCAACCTTTAACTATATGAATAAATGAATGATCGGTTAAACCTCTAGTGAAGTATTCAAATCCTGATTATTTTCAGCAAAGTTGTCTTTTAGTCCTAGGTGCTATCCGCGATTGCGTGAACGTGATGCGTGTCTCATGATATGTTCAGTTAAGTTTTTTTCAAAGACACTATCTTAGAAACTTCAGCTTAGCAACGTCATAAACGAGTCTCCCGCGAAATCAAATTTGTTTGCAAATGAGTGTATTTCGCCAAGTGTCTTATTATTTTCATCCTCAAACTAAAATAGACCCAAGCAGTGACAGTATGTTAAACATATATCTTCTGGCAACAGATTTTTGCACGCAAAGAATACAAACCAAGTCTTTACAACGAAATTTAATTTTTCTTGAATGTATAACCATCAGACTCAATTCGATCTAGTTATATTACTTTTCTATAGAGGAAGATTTTGGTAGCTCAGGTAGCGTAGATGGTCGTTGGTTTGTTCGCTGAGCTGGGCAGTTTGATTGCAAACGTTTCATCACCACTCGAGGTGACATCATCAGTGCGTTATTTGGGAGCGTAGTGGTGCGTAGCGGTGGGTTAGTGGTTGTGCGTTGAGCACGGAGTGCCAAGCTCAAAGGTCACGTGGGCATCGGCGAATGAGAACACAGGATAACGGAGCAACCAGTGGAACCGCCCGACCGAACAACTAATCACGATCAAAGGTCATCCCCTGCTAGCAGCACGTATATTAACACAAGCGTACCACCACTCAACGCGCAAGCACTATCCCACCGTTACACACCACTACGCTCCCCAATAACACACTGATGATGTCACCTCGATTGGTGATGAAACGCTTGCAATCAAATCGCCCAAATCAGCGAACAAGCCAACGACCATCTAGTTGTATTGCTTTTTGTAGGAAATGTCATACGTGACCAGTTACTCTCTTGGTTTGACGAATTCACCAGTCTCATAATCTACTCAGAAGCCTTTTGGAACTTTTCTGAGGTTTGCAGTCATATCTTTTTGCGCCAGCATCAGAAATAGGAAAACTCATTGTGAATACCGCTCGACTGAAAAAGCGTCCCAGTTCATTAAGAACAAGGACGAGTTCTGTTGCTCATCCAAGAATCTGACCCAATACGGAGAAACACCACCGTTGTAAAAGTCTGCCATTGGGGCACATGCACACATACATGGAGTATCCTTGGGCGCGAATCAGTTAGTACGGGATAATTGCTCAAAATTTTGTAACGGCTTCTCCCTGTTTGAGGCTTATCAGGTAGTCGTAATCCCGAAAGCTGAAACAATGAATCCCTGGGGTGAACAACAGTTTGGTCGAATGCTTAATTGTAACCTCGTATGCCTGATGATATTGCTGGTAACGGGCTGTCTTCAGATTTTCGGCGATCATCCTATGCTACTTAATTCGGGATGGAACTAGGCTTTACTGAATTTCTTCGCCTGTATGTTGCACATTATGCGGAGGGACATTCGTCTGCTATTGACCACGACCGAGTCTGTCAAGTATCCAGTGTCCACACATTTCATCATGCATATGGACTTAGAGCTATACCTTCACACATCTCGTTGGAACAATGTATTTCCCCAAATTCAGAACTCGAAGACAAGAGTGCCGGACGGCTCCAAAATCAGCGACTACCGCAAATGCAGACGAGTGTTTGGAAATGAAAATCTTCCAGATTTCGGACCAGCTCCCTGAAGACCATTTCACGTACTTCGGTAATTGTAGTTCCCTCAGTGGAAGTATGTCTGATTAATTCGGGACACAAATCTTAAAGACCCGAATCACCTTCGTACGTCTGTGTCACTTGTAGATTCAAAAGGGTGTATCACTGGGTTACGTGTACAGGGCTGTAGTGAGGGCCTTGTTACGATATGGTCACGAGATATGTCCTCTGCAGTCTTCCGTTTTTTTACCACTGATAGCCCAGGAGCGTCGATGGTGTCGGATGGCGTCACGAATTGGTAACCGGATAAGTAGAAAACGGGTAT